AGTAAAATCTTTTGAATAAGACAATAATTACTAAATATAAGAAGATAACTAATAGAGTAACATATGTACATATTTCCCAAGTATTCTCTTGGGTTTCTTATCAATCAACAGTAGGGTAACATGTGAAGTTTAAGGCTCGGAGCGATTATGGTGTATCCTACAAAACATATGCAGGGACCCCTATCTGAAAAACCACATTATGCTGTTTCAGTATATAGTTGCTGCTAAAGTTGTGTTTTAATAGATTATTTCATATACACGCTCTTAACAATAGGATCAATTCATCAACAATATGACGATAGTAGGGGCATGCAAGAAACCATAATGTTATATTTGCACTTTAAATAATTAATTGGTAGGCAGTCTTTGTTCTACAAGCTTCAATATATTGGGCTGGTGTACTTTGTTTTTTGGAAGAGTGACTCTTTCGTCCAGGCCTAGTGAATTATAACAATATGTAATGATATAACTTTCGTTGACTTGACGATTTTATGTGCAAGTGCAAGACTAATCCATTGGTTTAAGGTGACAGTACTCACAGGCAATTCTAATAAAGAATAAAGTATAGATTGACATGTAACCCATGCCATTTAACCTATGACAATTAATTTCATACACGTGTATGTTTATAAACAAGGTTGTTTATTTTGATGATGGCCTAGTTAATTATAACAACACATGTTAAGAAAACATCTGCTGACCTATAACGATTGTCTATGCATGACTAATTCCGCAGTTAAAGTGGCAATACTACACACTATAACAACGAGTAAGGTTTAAATGACATACAACCTATGACAAGTTTGTACGAAGCATATTTAGAATTTTGTACAGATCACAATTTATATGTGGTATTCCCTAAAAAGTAATGATCCATACGTTGTACTAAAATATAGTTGCCAGCAGAATGTGCCACGGAAAAGTTGGTGGATTTCAAGGGACTGCATTTGTCGAAATTAATTTGTGTTTGTTTGATATATGGATACACTATTCCATTTCTTATTTCAACAAGAAAATTTTTTTTTTTTAACCATTTAATGGTTATACATGGAATTCATTAATCGTCACTAGTATTATCGGCATCGGTGTTCATTGCTGCACCACGTTCAAAATTTTGTGCTTGAGGTCGTATAACCACTTTAAGCCGTGTTGTTTCTTTGAAATTATCAAGTTCTGTTTGAGATTTGATAACTTTGATGGAGTCGTCCCTTAATTTCAGGAATATGTTGCCATCGCGGGTCCACGAAGAATTAATTTTCTTTTCTTTAGCCATTTGTCTCGCATCATATGCCAATTTTGCTCTTATGCGGGTGAGATCTTCATTTACTGATATCTTATGTTTGTTGAGGTGTTCAGGTAATGCACTGTAGTTAACGGTTTTAAGTTTTTTAGCGTTAATAATGAATGCACGTTTAGTTGCATAGCCTTTGAAACGGACTATTATCGGGCGTGGTTTGTCTGTTTTATGGTACCGAGCTGGTGCACCCACTCTGTGGCTCCTGTTAATATCTGAATGGTCAATGTCGACCCCAAGTATTTTGCCAACATCTATGACGATATCATCAGTCGTTTCTTCAACAAGTTCATTGACCCCCGAGATCCGTATCCCCTCCCGTCTCCCATATTGCTCGAGATCATCTAATTTATCATTTAGTTTCGTTATTTCAGCGTCTTTGGTCCTGACAATTGATTCCAGTTGTGTTGTTCTATTTTCGAGCTCTGCGACCCTCTCACACAGTTTGTTAGCAACTAGTGATGCCACGGCATTAGCTATTTTCGATATGATGGCGTCATTATTGAGGACATTCATTATGACATGTTCATTTATTGATACTGAATCCATCAAAACTTCGTCGTCTGTATTTGATTCACTCCTGCTTTTCAAACGCTTGGGTTCAGATTCAGGCGGGCTGGAGGACGAGGAGCTGGTGAACAGTCCTCGCTTGAACAATTTCTCCATTCAAAGTGCAGAGCCACAATAACAAAGATAAGGATTGTTTGTACTTACAAGATTGCCTTTTTCCAGGTAAAATAAAACAGACAAATCCACACAGGTAACACACTATAATTATATGTAAGCTTTCACAGTTTCATGCCATAATTTTATTGCATTTGTTGGCGACACAGATGAATGGGGTGAGAAGTTGAGTTAAGTCCGTGCAGGATGACGTCATCATTGAGTAGACAAACAAACAACTTGAAGAACTTCTACGTTTTGGCTATTTTCATAAATTACCGCCTTTACTTTCAAAAAAGGGATTTAGTAGGGATATCACAATACAAGTGACCACATTTTGTAGGAAATAAACATATTTTCACAGAGTATATTATTGTGTATGAGCCATTTTCACATGTTGTTGTGGGAGACCAAGTACATGCGTCTAACCCCTTCCGCCATTGTCACTATATATAATACATTTTGATCTCTCCACAGGCCAGATAAAGACGCTGTAGGTGAATTTATTTGAAAGACTACCGGAATTCATTTCAAATATATGCATCATGATTATGATAACGTAGGGCGCGTCGTATTACCCAATAGGCCGAACTCCAAAATAACACATAATAACAATTTGCGCGAATTACCCTATAACTCCAAAATAACAGACAAAAAACACAAAAATGTTGACTGTGGAAACACAATATAACAATTTAGTTGAATTTAAGAAGCCTCGCTGATTTGTGCCCAAATCGGAGGTTCACGGGAGATAACTCGTGTATGTGATTTTTGTTGAGAAGAAACTTATGTATACTTTCGTTGCAATTCGTTGTAATGTATTGTAATAAAAGATTGATAATAGTTTATTAAAATAAACAATTTAATATTATAGCTATATTTATATATTTATAATTGCAAATTGCGCCGATTGGCACTTTCGGTCATCGAAATCGTAACTTGTTTAGAAATATATAAATTCTCATTCTCATGTTATCATAGTATATGTTTTTTGGAGGTGTGATTGTATGTGATTTGTCACCTTTTACAATGACAATTAACTGGTGAACATTCTATATGCCTACTATTGGCATATTATTAAAATTACACTTCATTTAATCTGGACTGCTTCATGCTACAACGGATTATCTATGAAATCATCCAAACCATTATTGATGAGACTTTATAATTATTTAATTGGCAGATTATTACTAAGTTAATTTTAGAATAAACTTAGCTCATCTACATTCGAGAAATGTTCGGTTTGACATTTTACATGGGTTACTGCTGTGTTTTTATTGTGTTTCCCCGAGTTGACCATCTGGAAATGTCGTTTTACAGTAGATACATTCTAGTATTAAAATTAATGCAAAATATAAGTAAATACAATTGTCTTGGGGCGGATTCCGATTTTCTCAAAGTGAATTCCGGTGTTTTAAAGTAATTTTTTATTAATGTAAAATATTAGTAAATACGAAGGTCTAAAGTGCGAATTCAGATATTTTGTATGTGAATTCCGGAGTTTTAAAGTAATTTATTATTATTGTAAAATATTTGTGATCGAGTACGAAGGCCTGAAGTGCGAATTCCGGTATTTGAAAGTGAATTCCGGTGTTTATATGTTTTCAATGTGAATTCCGGTGATTTTCGGTGTTTAAAAGTAATTTATTATTAATGTAAAATATTAGTAAAAACGAAGGTCTTAAGTGCGATTTCCTATATGTTGAAAGTAAATTCCGATGTTTATATGTTTTCAAAGTGAATCCCGGTGATTTAAAGTAATTTATTATTAATGTAAAATATTAGTAAATACGAAGGTCTTCAGTGCGAATTCAGATATGTTGAAAGTGAATTCCGGTGTTTATATGTTTTCAATGTGAACTCCGGTGTTTATGTGTTTTCAATGTGAATTCCGGTGATTTTATGTGTTTTAAAGTAATTCAATATTAATATTAATGGAAAATATAAATAAATTAAATAGGAAGATTGTACGGGCGAATTCTGATATCTCCAAAGTGAATTCCGGTGTATGGATTTGGTCAAAAAATATTGTAAGTTAAAATTCGGACTGAAATGCTGATGTTTCATGCATATAATTACTGTTTTAATAAACTATTAATCAATCTCTAATTACAATACATTACAACGAATTGCAACGAAAGTATACATAAGTTTCTTGTCAACAAAAATCACATACACGAGTTATCTCCCGTGAACCTCCGATTTGAACAAAAACCAGTGACGCTTCTTAAACTCACTTGTAAGGGGAGGCCACGACAAGACGGGCCTGGCACCTAAACACTAACCCCAAACGATGACATCTACCAATCCAGAAGCAGACAAAATCATCCACCAAACGATATGTTTTATATTAAATAAAGGGAAGAACTTCCCACTAAATAACCAAATCCATGGCCTAATGCCAAATGGAAAGATTGCAAAATCATATTCTAAAACAGGAATCAGCTAAATTCGGCTCTCCTATGTCTTGTCTGCGATATCACTTATGTGGAAGCAGACGTTAAACACCAAGAACTACTACTACTACTACTTAAACTCACTTGTCTGCGATATCACCTCGGTGGAAGCGGACGTAAAATACAACTAACTCAACAACTTAAACTCATACTAAATTGTTATTTTGTGTTTCCACAGTCAATATTTTTGAAGTTATTGGTTGTTATTTTGGAGTTATTGGGTAACTCGACGCAAATTGTTTTTTTTAGTGTTATTTTGGAGTTCGGCCTATTGGGTAATACGACGCGCCCTACGTTATCATATTAACCATGATGCATATATTTGAAATGAATTCCAGTAGTCTTTCAAATAAATATACCCACAGGGCCTTTATTTGGCCTGTGGGGATATCAAAATAGTAATTCGTTACATTATAATGTATTATACATTTAAAATAAATTAGTTTTGTGGGAGGAATCGGGGGTTTTCGAAGTGAATTCCGGTGATTATATTTGAATTCCGGTGATTATATGTGAATTCCGGTGATTATATGTGATTTCCGGTGATTGTAAATGAATTCCTGTGCCTGTGATTAGTCGGGCCCTATGCTGTTTGTATTAGCCAACTTATTGTATGCCAGGTTGAACTCGACGACATTGATTTACTTATTAAGTGACAAGTAAAAAGTTTATAGCTAACTAACAGAGTTTCTCTGTTTAATCTTTATGATAACGGTATGTTGCTTTATTATAGAAAGATACTGCATGTAAGCGTTATGTAACTAGTAGAAATAGGAGTATAGTCCTATAATAATAGGCTATTGGTCTTAGTATTTAAGAATGAGCTGGTTTATTATTTAGGAAGCGTGTGACTGGCTTTTTTAATGTTATTATGTTGATGTGTGTAGACCATACATGTAGAACAGGCCTACTCACAAACACGACAAGTTGGAGAAGAAACTCTTCCAGTACCGTAACAGTGTACACTAACAATATATAGTATGACAATAATTATGTGCTGTTGGTGTCCTGTCACGCAGCAATTTGAATTGCGAATTGCTTTGCAAAAGAAATTATCCACACCCCCAATTGGCACTGGAAATCACATCAGTTGGTTTCTGTCGGTTCTGGCTTCAAATGTTATATAAAATTATTTTTAAACATTTATTTATTCAACTGACAAACCCATAAATCATTGAGTGGATGTAGGCCTATGTAACAGTAGGCTATGTAAATAATAATATGGTTACCTATAGAGGGCTGATGAAAGGACTGACAAATACCTTACAATGGAGAATATAATCCGTTGGCAGGTTTCCATCTACCAATCTTGGCTGTTTCTTGTAAAAACTTCAAACATTCATATCGTTCACAATACATTCATTTTTCATTATCTATTTTTGAACTATTCGTCTATTAGCTACATTTAGTTAATAGCAATTCAATAACTGTTTGCTCTTTTTCTAAATCTTGCATTATGTAGCTTGCCATTTGAATTACAGTAATATTAAGTAGCCTAAATTTAGATTGTTGGTTGTTAATGTTACAGCAACTTTAGAAATTATGTTTGTTTTCTTTTTTCAATTTGCTACATTAACTAGCCATAAATTAGGAGTGGCATCATTTGGTTTCCTAGTACAATTCACATCTCTGAATCTCACCAGTTAGACAAGAGTAGAATACTAGTTATATTTTTTATTTTGATTTTAGCCCTTACTTTCTGAAAAGTTTTATACATGATTTGGTATCGAATCTGGCCGGATGGCTTTTTTATACGCCCACATGGAAATGTTGTCTTATATTGCCTTCATCCGTACATCCATTATCCACAATTTCTTGTGAACACTCTACTCACTACATTTATTAACTGATCTTTTTGAAATAAATAAGCTTATATGTTGTTTGCATTAGTGAGACGATGGTTCAAAGAATCCTATTTATTAATATCAGCAATTTCCGTTAATTACTTCTAGAGTTATGGTCCTTGTTTCACTTTGTCAAACCTTGTGAACACTCGTTAACGACTAAAGTTATCATCTAATCTGTATTATAATTATATGTATTATTTAAACATACATTATGCAAGAGCTAAATCTGATTATTGCAAGTCTTTATTTAGGCTTCAGATGTCATAGAAATTATAAATTAGTACACAACAAGCACAAAATCAACTCTGTAGACCCACGGATGGCTTGGATTCAGCTTGGATTTAAACAGGATTTCGTTGACTGATTTAATTTTAAATGGCGTCGTGAGCGGAGATTAACCGTTATGTTGACATCATACTCCCGGATTGAGGCTAAATGAATGCTAAAGTGTACGAAGTGAAGCCGCTGTTGAGCGATGCCTTAACAAATGACATCTAAACTATTTAAAGTGCAATAAACTAAACACAGATAATGACAAATTATACAATTCCTGGAGACCGTGTGATGACTAATACAGACGGACAGGTCTTCTGTCTTAATAATATCAATAAAAATATTTTTATTTCCCCAATAGGCACGACGCCACTGGTGTATAGGCTACTTATAGATTTATCATAATTGTATTATAATATTATGTCCTATATTCAATTGATTTAATGCATGCCCAAAATACAAGTAAGAATGAAAATTTACCCTCTCACTTATTTTGTCCAATTGTTATAAAAATCCAAAAAGGTAAAACACAAATTCGGATATGATGACAGCAGACAAAAGACAGATTATGTAGGTGGAGTTAACGCCCGTCAATCAAACGATCGGCCATGTTTACTATTTTAAACATACATGTACATGTATGACTTTAAAAAATGCAATTATCACTTTATTGTCAAATTGATTCCTATTGACAACTAATGTATACATGGTAAAGCACATGTAGTCTCTCTGTCAGTGTGAATCAATATAAATTCTAATATTACCTCCAACATGTATATTACCATACAACTTGGGGATTAAACTTACAGCTGCGTTTGGAATTGGAAGTTCTCATACTTCATTGTTATTAAATTTAATTTACTGAGAATTTTTTTAAGAATATAACTAAGGGATGATTTATTTTTGTGTCTTGTTTTACAGGGTTGTACCAGTGTTGCCCATAATGGATATAATTTCTTGGAGTTTTTAATATGAAATATTGTTTAATGGTGTTATAGTCAATGCCTGACTTGTTTTAATTAACATGGATGATTACCTGTTAATGACAAAAGAATCACTAGTAAGTCCAGATGTATTCTAACATGTAGCCTACATATCCATTTTTCAATTCACATAATATTTGCAGTCCTGGGAATAATGAACTTAATAAACCAACATCTTACATTTTGAATTTCATGTCGGATATTAATAATATCATTAAAAATTCTGCATATTCAATTGATTTAATGCATGCCCAAAATACAAGTCGGATATTAATAATATCATTAAAAATTCTGCAACAGACAAATCTGTGCAGGACAAAATGACAAAAATATTCAATTTATAATAGTTTCTGGTGCTTTTTATACGCCCACATGGAAATGTGGACATACATTGCTGCCCGTCCGTCGTCCACAACTCCAAAAGTTTCAATCCGATTGTTTTCAAATTGATATATGTGGTTTACATTAGTGAGATTAAGAAGTCTATTTAAATTAATTTCAATAATTTCTCTTTATTACATTGTACATGAACCTTGTGAACACTGTTAGTATTACGCCAAAATTTATCAACCGATCTTTGTGAAATTTATATGCATTATTTAAATTGGCGAAACGAAGAAGCCTTATGAATTTCTGCAATATCTGTTTATTACGTCTAGAGTTATGGCCTTTGTTTCACTTTATTGAAATCTGATCTGTGAAATTTATATGCATTTTTTAAATTAGTGAACCAAAAGAAGCCTATTGAATTTCAGCAATTTCCGTTTATTACATCTAGAGTTATGGCCCTTGTTTCACTTTATTGAAATCCGATCTTTGTGAAATTTATATGCATTATTTATTAGTGAAACCATGAAGCCTATTGAATTTCAGCAATTTACGTTTATTACGCCTAGAGTTATGGCCCTTGTTTCACTTTGTTCAACCCTGTTAATGCTCGATTGATGAAAGTTATCATCCGAAATTTATATACATCATTTAAATTTGTGAAACATAGGTCTATTGAATTTCAACAATTTCCGTCAATTATTTCTAGAGTTATGGTCTTTGTTTTACTTTGTGAACCTTGTGAACGTTTGAATGACAACAGTGATCATCCGATCTGTATGAAATTATTTGAATTAGTAAAACGAAAAAGACTGTCAAATTTCAACTATTTCTGTAAACTAATTCCAGAGTTGAGGCCCTTGTTGCAGTTTGTAGAACTTTATGACCCCTCAAACGACAAAATTATAATCTGATCTGTATGGAACTGTCTTGTAAAGGCCCCCAATTACCTACAGTGTAAAGGAATAAATATGCGACATCCCTGGTCAACCGCTTGGATTATTAAGCTGCTGTGGGGGTATGTTTCGTTGCCTGGCAATCTGTCTTTCCCATTTCTGGACACTCTGAATCATGTGTATTTTCCTTTACTATATGTATCTTTATTCTTGAATATTTGTTGATTGCATTGAGTAAATATTATGAAAAAGTTAAAGGCGAATATGATCAAATGCCACTAGTTTCATTTAATAATAATGAGTACTAAAAATCAGTGCATCTGTTCGTCGTCTGTCTACAATTCTTGTAAATATGCTTGGCGAGTCAGTTTTATAGGTTTTTTCTTTTCATGGATTGCTAGGCTACACATAAAAGTCCTATAAATTGATACTTTAGCATGCACTAAAAATCTTTGAGTTTGCCTGCATTTGAGTGCAAGCTCTATTATTATGCTCTTATAAATTTATGCCTATGTTGTAAAAAAAAAAAAAATAGTCAGATTCAACTTTTTATAGAGTGTAGAGAATTTAATTACTGGTAAGTAAATTGTAAAAATCGGTTGAAGAATAGTGTTGATGCCTTTAAGATTTTGTATTAATAAATGCATTATAAATATAATGTGTTGTGTATGGAATGTGGATGTATTGGCAATTTCTGAGTCAAACACCAGCTGTTGTAGTTTTACAGATTTGTTTACAATAATAATATAGAAATAGAACATATATTTATTAGATCTTGCTTTTAAGTATTAATTATACATACATGTACTACATGTATCTCATAAAAGTAAGATTACATAATTGCCAAGCTTGTCTATAATAAACAGCTGATTTTAATGAGATTGGTTCAATTGAAAGATAACGGTCTGTAAACTTCATGTAAATAGCATAGATGCAATTAATCAATAAATTGCATATGACCATTGGCCATAGGAGATAATTACTAATATTAGGCAAGTTTTATAAATAAAGCTTCAGAAAAGAGCATAAATTTTCAGAATTAATTAAAAAATGTGTGAAAATTATCTCAAAACAGTGAAATACAATTTTAATTAGCTTAAGAGGTGTATCATGTATCAAAATTTATACCTGTTATATAACCTGATATATTATATACTTTCGAGGATTGGTGGATCACCAAGTGACTCATTTACCAAGATTGATTGCCATGAAAGAAAAAATAAATGTTTGGTTGTGTAGCCTAAAGACAACCTTTATGTCAAATATGCAATACAATTCTGAGTTGCCTAATTGCTTTAAAATAATAGTGATATAAATCAGTAAACACAAAGATATACTTCCTCAATATTCAATATTCTGTCAAGTCAAACCCATTTTAAATAATACATGCTGGTGAGATTATGAATGACACATTTATTCAAATTTTAGATGAGTGACTAAGCATGAGTGTGGTTACCACACATCCTGTGATAATACTGGCATGCAATGTTGATCAGATGGCCAAATATTAGTTGACATTTTATAATAATTAAATTATTAATTTATTGTGGGCATATTAATATAAAAGGCAATCTCAGTCAATAAATTTTTATTTAAATTTGCATGGATTGCTCATTTGGTTGTAAAGAAGTATCCTATATTCAGAGTTCTTGGTAGAATATTTTGAAGCTTGAAATCTTTCTATCCACAAGTGGTGCGGTTTTGGTTTCAATTCCCTGCTTACACGTGACAAAGAGTAAGGTTGCCTAGCCTCCAACCGCTAAAGACCCCTACATGCAAGCAGATTATTGAAATAAAATCAACCCATATGTTAGTCCCAAAATGACCTGGTTTGTGTCATATGGATGTGCCTTTGTCCACATGTAATTAACATGAACAATTTTTGTCCGTCCATCCACAATTGTTTGTGGACACTCTACAGGTCACAATTCTTATCCAATTTCAACGAAACTTCTCCCTAAGATCTCAGTTCCTTTCGATATTGGCATGTATCGGACCGTAACTTCATGGATTGTACGAAAAAACTTGTTTTTAGCGTGTGGACCCTATAAAGGTCACAATTTTTATCCTATTTTGATAATACTTGAAATGCATGTTTATAACCCAAAGATCTTGGTTCCTTTTCGATATTCGCGCATATCGGATTGTAACTTCCTTAATTTATGGCCCCTGTTTGTACGAAAAAGCGCGTTTTTGATTTGTGGTTCTTCCAGAGGTCACAATATTTATCCGATTTAAAAAAACTGGTTTAGTATATCACAGATACACCGTAAAGAAGGTTGAGTTCGTATTTCGTGGAAATGTGACCAAAACTACCTGATAAAATGGCTGCTGCTTGTACGCGAATAGTGTAAAAATATGGTATATCAAGGTTGTGGACCCTGTAGAGGTCACAATTTTAATCCAATTTTGATGAAACTTGAAATGCATGTTTATAACCCAAAGATCTTGGTTCCTTTCGATATTTGCGCATATCGAATCGTAACATGAATTATGGCCCCTGATTGTACGAAAAATCGCCTTTTTTAGCTTGTGGTCACTCTGGAGGTCACAATTATTTTCCGATTTGAAGAAAAACGTTTGATTATATCACCGTTACGCCATAATGAAGGTTGAGTTCAAATTTCGTGAAAATCGGACCAAAACTGCCGGACAAAATGGCCGCTGCTTGTACGCAAATAGTGTAAAAATATGGTATATCAAGGTTGTGGACCCTGTAGAGGTCACAATTTTTATCCAATTTTGATGAAACTTGAAATGCATGTTTATAACCCAAAGATCTTTGTTCCTTTCGATATTTGAGCATATCGGATCGTAACTTCCTGGATTATGATCCCTGATTGGTTGAAAAATCGCATTTTTAGCTTGTGGATTCTCTAGAGGTCACAATTTTTTTTCCGATTTTAAAAAACGTTTAGTTCACCATTGCAGATCACCATTCCACCATAATGAAGGTTGAATTGGAATTTCTGGAAAATCGAAATGAAGCTGCCCAACAAAATGTGGTCGCTAGCTCTTTGTATGCAAATTGTATATAAGTATATAATTCAAAGGTTATGGGCCCTCTAGAGGTCACAATTTATATCCAATTTTGATGAAACTTAAAATTTATCTTTATATTCCAAAAATCTCAGTCCCTTTTGATATTTGTGCATTTCAGACCATAACTTTCTGGGTTATGGCCCCTGATTGTACAAAAAATCTTTTTTGTTTTTAGCTTGTTCTCTATCCATCTCTTGCAAAATGTGGGCGTATCCTGCCTGGCAGCCGTTGATTTTGATTGTAAATGTATCTCGTAATACAATATTGTCACAGTTTTCCATTTTACCCCAGATGACAGAATTGTGGGTATTATTATGTTTCATAGTCTGGCAACCTATTTTTGGTTTCATGAAAATTATAATAATTGCCATGCAGTAAATTACAAGCCCAGGGAAGAAAAAGAAAGCACTGCTGCAATAAATTGATCAATTAATATTATTATGTTACAGTTTATCAGGTATTGAAGAGAGTTGAGATCTTTGATGATTGAAACAAGATAGTGGACTCTATAATTACAATGATAGTCATACAAATAGCTGATAAGAATACATACTGGGTGTATGTAATATACCATCTAGGTCTATCTTACTAGGTTTTCAATAATAATTTATTATCTTTCTTAAAAAGAAAAAAAGCACGAACCCTATTATAGTATAATCCATTGTTAAACCTTTGCTGAAATACACAAATGTGTATATTCAATACAGCTTGATTTCAGTCAGACTGTATTTTATGATCATTTGACAGCGATAAAAAAATATGCTATTCATTCAAGATTTTTTTTTTTTAAACATTTTATAGACATTAGAATA